TATGTCGTTTATGGGCAAGGAATCTAAAATATCCTAAAAATTTCCGTTTTTGTGAGTAAATTATTGGCGATATAAATAACTGTTAGAGATGGGATAATTTGATTTGAACAGTATCGTAAACTGTGTCGAAAAAGAGCTCCAGTTTTCGTCAATAATACAGGGTGCTCGAGATACTTGAAAAAAAATTATTTTAAATCGCAATTACCAGTACATACATTTAACAAAGTTTGCCGTAACTTTGAAGTTCGACGAGATATGAAAGACACTTTGTAGACTGCATAGCGCATAGTACGGAAGAGACCATTCGCACAGCCACGATTTTTCGAAATCCATCTTGTTTAATTCACCTATTACAACTATAGTCAAAATATTTTGGAATTTGCAGTAGGTTCGTCAGCAATTTTTAGATGGCGATATATTAATGATAGTGATCATAAATTTTTATTTATCTACGATTTCCCTATCACACAAAGTACAGCTTGGGAAAACCAAATAAAGTCAAACACATTTTCAATCGTTTTGACTTTGTGAAATTTTTGAAAATAAAGATCTCGTTCTTGAGAAAATAATATTTTTATTTAATCTTGTTGGCAACTGATTTTGATGGTACTTCTAACACAGGTTAGTTTAATCAGAAAGGAGGTTATTTTAGGTAATTAATAAACGGCATTTTTTATATTTTCGACCATATTTCCATTAGTCTTAATATAAATCTTAATTATTTCATAGATACATATGTGGAGGTCGTCAATTAGATTTTTAATAATAGCTTTAATAAAACAATAAAAAATGTTTCAACGTTTTCTTGAATGGATTAAATGTTTTAATGTTTTTAATTTCTAATGACAGCTTATTAAACAACTGTGGTCCTAGATTCACACATACCCGCAAGCTTAGAAGATAACATCCTGCAATCTTGCCCGAACGAAGAATATTGTCACTAGTTACTCCTAGAACTTTGACATAATGGTTATAATGTGCTCAAATATAAAACTCATAAAAACTTTCTTGATAATCCCATTGATATTGACGATAATAATAAATGTTAGCAATCGGGGATATTCTACATTCTAAGAGGGGTTTTTTCGAGATGAATGCATTCCAATCTTTAAAGGAGGGCTACAAAGCTAATCTTTTAATCATTTTCTCATATATCTTTAGAGCTTTCTCCTATTACTGTGAGATATGCCAAATTCGAAAACAAAGATATTCACTATATCCCAATAAAATTAATGTAGAGATACCAAAAACTATTGTCTAAATGTTTTGTTCGATATGTCTATCAATAATAATACTGTTCCTCAGAACTAGAAGCGGACAACTGACAGATGCTAGACAAGCATAACTGAAATTTGATTTGAAATTTTGCAGAAAGATTTAGAGATCGTTGAGAACTCGATGACATATATCAATAGCGTATCAATAGCACAAGTTAAGTCAAAGTCAAGCTTATGACAAATAAAAGACCCAATTTGGTTCCAAATTAATGACCACCCCCTACGTCAGGGGTGGGCAAATACTTTAAAGCGCGTTCCAAAATGAAATTTTCAAAATGTCTCCCGGGCCGGAGGACTATATCGCGTATGCTTTGCACAAGCGGATGTTTTGGATGAAGTTTTTTCCCTGCCCAATTTTTTTTTTTTTTGACAAAAACACTAAGTATCATTTCAATTTCACGTGAAACTTTTCTGCATAGCACTTCTTGATGAATAATGCAGTGCAAAAATAATATATCGTGTTCTGGTTGTAACTCTTTTACTTTGTCGCGAATTTGTTTAAGTAAGCTTACATTTTTCCCTGTTAAACTAGGACAACCATCCGTAGTGACGCTTACTATTTTATTCAAAGTTAAACTTACTTTAACTAAACACTCTTCAACAGCGAGAAAGAAATTACTTTCTTATTAATGTTTGTAAAAAGGTAAAAAGATATTTTACCGTCCAAGCTTCATTGAAGTTTCTGCATTCCAAATCAACTTTTCTTTTTTTAGATTGACTCATTTTACAAAGGTCTACAAATAAATAATTTAATTAATACAATAAAATAAAACCAATGTTTTAAAATTTTACTTACAAAAAGTTCACTTTTTCAATTTTATATTTGCAAACTAATATTAGACTCGAACAAAAAAGAGTATGCGATCAATGCTAAATCAAAATTAACAATACGCGTGATGCGACCTGTCGTCCCTCGAAAAGTGAGAGGAGTGCAGCATATGCCGTCCACACATGCATTTCGAACCTAGCGCGATCTCCTTTGTGTTCGACGAAAAAACCGCCCTGAGAGCGATCGTCGCGAGCGACTCGCATGAGAATCGCGCGAGGATTGTTTCAAACTCGCGACATCGTCCACAATAGTGTAGTCAGCCGACCGCCCATTGTATAACGCCTATTGTATATACAGTACGCACACTAATAATGTTGATGTCAACAAAATCTCATAAAAGAGTTTAAAAAAATTTGCGTGCGGAATTTTTCAACGGGCCGGATAAAATTAGCAAAAGGGCCGGATCCGGCCCCCGGGCCGGCTTTTGCCCACCCATGCCCTACGTGTTAGTAATCCTGAGTCTGAGTTATGAATCTATCTATCACCAACATGTATCACATTAATGAACTTGTCGCTCATTCGTACCAAATTCGCAATTTTGTTATGATAAATGTATAAGGCGCTTTTCGATGAGCTATGCGTTAGTTAGGCTTAAACTTGAATATTGCTGCTGTGTTTGGTATCAGTTTCCACTTTGGGGTGAGGCGATTCAGATATTAGGGTATAGATAATGTTTGGTGATGGTTTTGTAGATCTTCATTCACTTGTGGGGCTTGATGTCCAAGCCTTGAATGCTCCTCCCAATAATTACTCTATATATGCTTTTCCCACCTTGGCCCGGTTCAAATCTTTAATTAAATTGTATCAAAATTGTTCTAATTTGAAATAATTTTTCGTAAAAATAAAAAAATATATATATTAGGTAAATTAGCGAAGGGAAAATGCTGGAAATTATTAATAATTGATAATAATTACCATCAAAATGTTGCTTATTTTAATGATACTTAGCTGACACAAATTTAAATCTTTTTTGCTTGATTCTTTTTACTCAATTTCTAAAAGGAAAGTGGAAGGGGGTGCTAGACTATCAAATGTGCTACGAGTAAAATAATTGCGATTGTGTACCCTGGCACCAGATGGCGTTTTCTGACTTACTGGCAAAAAAAAATAATTTTCTGAAAAAAAAAAATAAATGCAACGATATGATTTTTTTTGGTAGTCAAAGAATAGCCCAACAACCTAGTAAAATCCGCATTCCAACATCTTCATCCTAATTTTGGTAAGCATCTCCACTTCGCGGGATTTAATGAAATGAAAGTCGGTATTTATCTTTATTTATATTAGTTTTTTCTACAAATATCTAGTTAAAGTTAAAGTTACATTTAGTCACTGATCGATATTGTTAAAGACTAAGTGAATTACTGACGTTTTAAGTGGTAAGTAGAAAACCATAAAAAAACTAACCTATCTCCTTTGACAGTTGTCGAAATTGCCATGAAAAAAATTTTTTTTGGCACCAGATGTTATTATAATAGTTTACTTTTTTAGTAGGCTGTAAAATTTGACAAAATGTAAAATCTACGTATGTAAAAAAATAGCTTAGTTATCTGCCATTTTAAATTTATCAAACGTTTGAGTTTTCTTATTGTGATTGTTTTTATTGCATTGCAAATGTCTTCTTCGACTGCCGAGGCGTACGACATGTTGGTTGTGTTTTCCTAGTGTCATCAAAATGCATGTGTGACTGAGTGAGAGAAATGATCCCAATAGAAGACATTTCAGGGGAATGGTTTTTAGTCGTCTAAGTAAATATTTGCGTGAAACAGGAAGAGTTCATCCTAATCCAGTGCCTAGAAGAAATTGACGCGTTAGAAAAGAAGAAAACGAAGGAAAATGTTCTTGACTTGACCACATTAATCCTCACTTAAGCTTAAGGAGAATACTGTCGTTTGATTTTTTTTTGCCATTATGTCAGAAAACGACAACTAGTGACAGGATACTGAATCGCAGTCATTTTACTCTAGCACGTTTGAACCCTTTTTAACGACTCCAAGCTTCCACTAAACCATTCAGGTGTTATATCACGTCCTTTTAGAGTTAGAGTAGAAAGCAACTAACAAAAAAGATTTAAATTTCTATCAGCTTTAAAACAGCGTTCACTTTAAGTATAACTAATAAAATAAGATGGCTATTATGCCCTCTGGTGGCAATTTCGGAATTTCAAAAATAATTTCCAGCATCAGCCGATTTTTGTTTCAAATTTTAAAGAACATCCGTTTCCCCAATACCCTACCTCGTTGTGGTTATTGGGATACGGTATATACGTGATGATATTTATAAAAAATTTAATTTATGTAAACCATATGCCTCGTAGACTGTTGTGAATAATTAAAATAAATTTTGCCTAACAAGTTCTAACAACGTTAATATTTAGGTTTACCCGTGTTTGTGTAGTATGAAAGACCATAAAATGAGTTTTCTCTAGATTTAAAGAGAGTTTAAGTCCGTTGTTTAGCATTTTACAACGGTGGCATGTGCTGTGGGAATGCTTTGAGTGATTTCGAGCAACAGAGGATTTACTAATAAAAAGAACGGGACCTAAAACTGATCCAGCTTTCTTGCACTAAACGCTTTCCCTGGTTACGTGTTATGCCATTATTATTTCTGAAACCCATCCATAAATAAATGTAAAACATTTAAAGTTTGCTAATTAGTCGGACAGGTTTAAGTTATTGTTATTGATTTAGGGATTATTTCTGAACTGCAAAGTCGTCTGATATGTTCTTATCTCGAGCATTTGTACGAAATAGCGTTAAATCGTACAACTCGTACAATTCCGATTCCGATTCTTATCTATCTCTAAGTTCGAGCAAACCTGTCGACAATATTATTATCAGCAAACAGCAAAAAAATGTAACTATAAATCGTAATTAGTGCGCCTATTTTTTTTTCAGAAGATCTTTTAGACCAAATGCCACGCGTAAAATGCGGCGCAGGGCTGTGTTCAAAAATGGCGACTGCAACATACTCCAATCGAGAATCTCCAAACGACGACTGCGCTATCTCCAAGATATATTCACCACCCTGGTCGATTCGCAATGGCGATGGACGCTCACAATATTTTCCATCGGTTTCTTGGGTTCCTGGCTGTTGTTCGCCCTGATATGGTATGTTAATCAAACTTTATTTGTTAAATATTTTAATATTCTTGATGATAGGTTTTGCTACTAGCTTTATTTTAAAACAAAATTAACCCTATATTGCCGTGCTTATCACGAACCCTATTATGATTGAACAGGTTGCGAAAAACAAGTTTCATTATTGGTGCTGTATATCTGCATCCACACTCTAGAATGCAGTTCTGTCCAGTGACATCAGTTTGCATAATGGTAGTTGGATTAGTGACGATAATTCGTCAGCTCATATAGAGTGTAATGATTTTATCAATTTAAATTGCGATCGGATAGATGTTACTGGCGCAAACAATATACAAGGTGTTTTCTAATTGAATGTCAATAATCAAGGAGGCGATTTTTGGATCCATTTTAAAAAGACAACTTCATATGAACATATGTCATAATTGTCTTAACTTTTGAGATACAGGATGGTAAAGTTTTCAAAAATAAAATATATTTTTTTAGTATCTGTAATACCACTCTAAAATCATTTCTAAAGAAATTTAATTTTGTCATTTTTTTCAATCCGATGTACGGTTTTCGCTTAAAAAAATAAAAACATCTCTGCATCGTCACAATATCGTTAATATGGAAAAACTTGTGTATAGGTTTCTCTAGAAATTATTTTTAATTATTTTTTGGGTCCATTTTAAAAAGACAACTTCATATGAACGTATATCTCAAATCTCTTAACTTTTGAGATACAGGAAGGTAAAGTTTTCAAAAATAAAATATATTTTTTTAGTATCTGTAATACCACTCTCCATTCATTTCTAAAAAAAATTAATTTTGTAATTTTTTTCAATCCGATGTACGGTTTCCGCTTAAAAAAATAAAAACATATCTGCGTGGTCACAATATCGTTAATATGAAAAAACTTGTGTATAGGTTTCTCTAGAAATTATTTTTAATTATTTTTTGGGTCCATTTTAAAAAGACAACTTCATGTGAACGTATATCCCAAATGTCTTAACTTTTGAGATACAGGATGGTAAAGTTTTCAAAAATAAAATATATTTTTTTAGTATCTGTAATACCACTCTCCATTCATTTCTAAAAAAATTTAATTTTGTAATTTTTTTCAATCCGATGTACGGTTTCCGCTTAAAAAAATAAAAACATCTCTGCATGGTCACAATATCGTTAATATGAAAAAACCTATGTATAGGTTTCTCTATAAATTATTTTTAATTATTTTTTGGGTCCATTTTAAAAAGACAACTTCATATGAACGTGTATCTCAAATGTCTTAACTTTTGAGATACAGGATGGTAAAGTTTTCAAAAATAAAATATATTTTTTTAGTATCTGTAATACCACTCTCCATTCATTTCTAAAAAAATTTAATTTTGTAATTTTTTTCAATCCGATGTACGGTTTCCGCTTAAAAAAATAAAAACATCTCTGCATGGTCACAATATCGTTAATATGAAAAAACTTGTGTATAGGTTTCTCTAGAAATTATTTTTAATTATTTTTTGGGTCCATTTTAAAAAGACAACTTCATATGAACGTATATCCCAAATGTCTTAACTCTTGAGATGCAGGATGGTAAAGTTTTCAAAAATAAAATATATTTTTTTAGTATCTGTAATACCACTCTCCATTCATTTCTAAAAAAAATTAATTTTTTAATTTTTTTCAATCCAATGTACGGTTTCCGCTTAAAAAAATAAAAACATCTCTGCATGGTCACAATATCGTTAATATGAAAAAACCTGTGTATAGGTTTCTCTAGAAATTATTTTTAATTATTTTTTGGGTCCATTTTAAAAAGACAACTTCAAAAATAAAATATATTTTTTTAGTATCTGTATTACCACTCTCCATTCATTTCTAAAAAAAATTAATTTTGTAATTTATTTCAATCCGATGTACGGTTTCCGCTTAAAAAAATAAAAACATCTCTGCATGGTCACAATATTGTTAATATGAAAAAACCTGTGTATAGGTTTCTCTAGGCATTATTTTTATTCTTATTCTACACCTTCAATTCCGTATCATTTAGATTAGGGGTTAATTGTAGTGTATTTCTGGAATAATTTGAACTATAATTTAACTGTAGGAGCTTAGGTTTTATAGGTAGGTTTGCGTCTTTGTTCGTTCAGTATTCGAATATGGCAGGCCATGTTTGATCTCCTTTTTATTAAACTCATATTGACAATTCGATTCGACTGATTTAACTAATCTTTTCAAATGCCTTAGATATTATAATCGTAATTTTACGATACAAGAAAATATTGCAGAATAACTAGAATTGGAGAGATCGCTTTATTTAAATGTCTTGCATGAAAAAAAACGGCAGCAGATTAAACAAACAAAACTAAAAAAATTTAACCCTTAATTAAAATTGTTGAATTCGTATAACTTATAAGTAAGTTACCCTGATGTTAATTTTTTTTTTTGGGCCTTCAAGCAGGACGGAGAATATCCGGTGCATTTTTTTATATTTAGTTTCAAGAATAAAAATTCCTCACTGTTTGTAATATCTTCTCTGCTCTTTCTATCCATCTTTCTTTTTTTGTAAGCTTGAACATTGAATTTTTCACGATAAGTCAATGACTGAAAAGGACACATCAGCCATTTTAATGTATATATAGTCATTCCTTCTTTCTAGAGTAATCAAACCCATCTTATTACAGGTGGCTTATAGCTTTTACACACGGCGACCTTGACGAGAGCCATCTACCGATGATGCAAGCTGAAACTAATTGGACGCCGTGCGTCTTGAACATACAAGGGTTTACCTCTTGCTTTCTGTTCTCCATCGAAACTCAGCATACAATCGGTTACGGTGTCAGAACTACTACCGAAGAGTGTCCTGAAGCGATTTTCGTTATGTGCCTCCAAAGTATTGCAGGTAAATTGTCCGTTCTAATGCTAGTAAATCAAGCGTAGCCCAGATCCGAAAAACTAAGCAGGAGGTACCAATTTATCCAATTTAAAGTTGAAACTTCTTCTGAAATCTTTTCGTCACTCAATTTGGTGTTCCGAAAGAAAATATATTGTTGATGTTGCCTTTATACCTCTTAAATTTTTTAGGCAAAGACGATTTTAGAACAAGTTTACTAAAGAATTGATCAACAACATGTTCGAAAAGCGCCTACCAATTCGCACATCCCCAGATGCCCAGCAGCCATCCTTCCAATTTTCTGCACATCATTCAAAATGAAAAAGTTCGGTCACGATTTTTTTAGGAGTCCACAAAGCCATGCTAATAAACAAAATCAGCAAAATCACTTCTAGCCCAGATGGCATCGCCAGCTTTTTAGTGAAAGGCTGTTCCTCTGTTAAATGCGTCTCCCTTGCCAAAGTTTATTTTATCTTTAAACAGAGTGATCCACGTCTTGTTGAAAATTATCGTAACTTTTCTAAGGAATATGAAATCATCCATAGATCAACACGAGTATTATTATGGTTGATCTTTTATATATATGAAGGTTTATTTACACCGTTTAATAAGTTTTTTGCCCAAATTGCTTTTGAATGGGATTATCCAAGAGTGGTCATTAACATACAATGCAACAAGATTATTACCTAAAGTTTCGGAATTTAAATCCAGGTAAAATTGTGGTCCGTAATAGAAAATAATTTTATACCTATAATATTCTTTGGTTTGATATACTACTTAGTTTAAGTTTATTAGTATTCATTCTTATTTCGTGTGTAATACAGCGCGTGTTGAATCGTGTGCGAATTATGTAAAATATATCGAGTCTAGTGTATCTCAGCAGATGCTCCCGCAAGCATTTTTAGAAGAAACGGCCACATTGACGAAAATTCCAACATCAACTGTATGGAAAATTGTGAATAATCCCATTTCAACGAGGAAAAAAAGAAGCGATGCTGACATTTTCTCGAGTGTAGATAAAAGTGATCAAGATATAATACGGCGTAAAATTTGCCAGTTATACGAGGAACAAAGCGTGCCTACATTAGATATCTTAATTAGAAGGTTTGAAAAACATGAAACCGGTATTAAATGTGGCAGAACCACCTTATAGAAGTGTATTCAACACATGGGTTTTAGATTTAAAAAAATTGACAAACGGCAAGTTTTAATGGAATCTTTTAGAAATCGGAAATGGCGACTGGAATATCTAGAAAAAATTAGGATTTACAGAGAACAACCAAGAGCAACTATTTACTTGGATGTAATCTGGTCCGACACTTATGATACTCCGGAGAAGGGTTGGATTGACTCAACTGATAAGTGTAAAACAAACGCGCCATCAAAAAGACGTAAAAGAATAACTATTTTGTATGCAGGCTCTAAAGATGGTTGGATTCCAAATGGACGTTCCCCGCCTGTGAAAAATATTAAAGATTCTTCTCTGGATTACCATGAAGACACCACCGCTGATTTATTTGAAAGTTGGTTTAAAAACAAACTAATTCCAAACATTCCTCTTAATAGCGTCATTATAATGGACAATGCATCACAGTGGACAGTTGACTAAAACCCCTTCCTCATGTGACACAAAAGCAACAATCCAAAACTACATGTATAAGAACGACATGTATTTTCACGAAGATTATACCAAAAAGCAATTAATTGAGGCTCTACAAAGCTTGAACCTACAAAAGGAATACGTCTATGATAATTATGCAAAAAATCTAGGGCATACAGTTTTAAGGCTTCCACTGTATATTTAGTCCCATTGAACATGTTTGGCACCAACTGAAATCTGCCATTCGTCGTAACAATATTTTCTCCGTGTTAACTCCAATGTCCTCAAACTTGTAGAAACCGAAGTTTTTAACATCCCCCTCCACTAAGTTGGGCAAATTCTGTTAAACATTAGTATCGTATATCCATATTGCAAGTAATATAGAACATAGTGATACTGTTATATTATGTGAATAATTTTAAATAATTTAAGTAGGTAATAAAAATAATTTGTAATTTTATTTTAGATTTAAACATAAATACATACATAAATAAATAAATATTGTTTAGTATCTTTCCTAACAAAACCCCAATAATTAAATTCTAAGCAAAGTACGGATCTGTTCGGCCATATTTCATTCTTACGGCTTGCCCGGGTCTTTCCTTAATTCGTATCAGTTAGTCACTCTCTTATATCTATGAACAGACTTTACCCCTGATTGTGAATCCCTCCAAGACCTCATTTATGTGCTTAGTCAGTCGCGTCTGGCTATTAAACCACTAAAAAATCCACTTATTTTCATTTATTTTATAAACTCCACCTTTAGTTATATTTTTGGTTTTGTTAATATTCGTATGGGTTTTCTCTTTTATACTTATTCTCGTATTTTAAGCATTTAATTTGAAAATAAAGAGCTATTTTCGAATTGAAGGGAAAGTGGAAATACTGCGTGAAATTTGATTGATCAATCTCCGTTATCAAGTGCAAATTGTTTACACTTGATATGAGCATTCTGGAATTTAATTAAGTGATCAGTATGGGAATAAAAAGTTATATAGGTATATGAACAAAGATCTCTTTTTTTTAATACATGGTCGTGTTACAGAAAAAAAGAGGTTTTCACTTTATTTTGAATATTCAACATGCTACTCAGTACCTGGTATGTGAGTAAAGGGTTATATTTTTGTCCAGCTTAAACATAAATTTAAAAAAAGTGAAATAATTTCGTCTTTACAGAAGCATTTCTGGTTATGTAAACTTTTATTCTTATCTTTTATATCTGGACATACTTAGAAGCTCAGGTTTGTCTCTTACCATTGCTGCTAGCATGCGAAATACAACGCAACCCAAGGTTTCTTAAAATAAATTTTTAAAATGATTATATTTCTATCAATTTTCACAGTGCAATTTTGAAAACTGGCGTCTGTATGTACCTAATTTTAGAATATGGTGCGATGAACCATCAACATACAATATTTTCTTTTTAAAGAATACTTTTAATTTTCCTGCTCGCAAAATGTTAAAATATCGCATCAAAATGCATTTACATTTTGATATTCCGGTTATTTTCATTTGAAATTACCTATAAGCTTTTTGGCAAGGAAATAGGATATTGATAATAATAGATTTATTTTTTATATTTTTTGCAGTTTTCAATAGCTTTTTTAATTTAAAAAAAATATTTGTTCCATAGTGCGCTTTATTTTTTTTATCAATTTATAACTATTTTAATTTCGATCTCTTTGTCGTTAAAAAAGTAATTTATTAATGCAGGAAAAAGAAAGGGACATGTTCAAAAAGAAAGGACCTTCAGGTCAACATAACTAAAAAGTTTAGGAGATTAGGAAAATGAACAATAAGTAATACCGAAGATTAAAGAAGGGAGATAACAATATAGAGAATAAAAGAGTTTCGGTTTGCCTATATCGTTGCTTTACGTTTGTTTTTTTCCAATTAATTCTTATGTTTTTTCATCAATTTTGAATACATAATCCTTCATAGCCTAAAAGAGCAATGTTAGCGACCTATTGATTAATTATAGTATAACATAGACAGAAGATAGACTTTCAAAGTGATTCGCTGTACGCAAAAAATTCCCGTCTTTTACTTTTTTCTTCTCTGTTTAAGTCGATATCAAAGTTCATTGTAATTGTAGGCGCCTAACCTTAGTATTCTTTGATAGGCATGATAATTCAGGCGTTCATGGTCGGCATAGTGTTCGCAAAGATGACGCGTCCCAAGTTGAGAACGCAGACGCTGCAGTTTTCAAAGAACGCCTTGATCTGTCAGAGAGACGGACATTTCTGTCTGATGTTCAGGGTAGGAGATATGAGAAAAAGTCACATAATCGGAGCTAGTATTAGAGCCCAACTGATACGGGCGAAGAAAACCAAAGAAGGTAGGTGTTATTCCAAAAGGAGCAATTTAAAATAGTTTCCTCAACTATTGCACATATTTTCCATTACATTGTTCTTGATTATTTTAGCAAACATTTTATATTTATTATCAAATCTGTCTTAAAGGTTTATAATGTTCCTTGCTCTTCTCGCAACCAACAAAATTTTGATTGCTTATGAATCAGTTAAGCTGAAAGAAAATACACATAGGGCAGAGCAAGGCTGCTTGAAAGATTTCAGAACTTGCAATTGTTTTTAAATTTTGCAGATATATTAGTGTATTTTTTACTGACGCATTATTTCTGAGATCTTAAAATGAGATACAAAAGTTTTATAGTTTTATATTCATTATATCAGAATTTAAAGCTCTAACTGATTCTCATCAAATGACACATTCCAACAAAGATTTTGTGATTTGGAATTGTTCATATTTTTGCAGTGATATTAACTAAACTAATACATAAAGAATGTTATCTGTTTCTATCAAGCAACATTTTTGAGCTAATTCTTGAAATGTCATATTTATTGTTTTAAAAATAGGAACATTGCATACAATTCTAAAAATTGAAATTGCTTTTGAAATAAAATTGCTCCCCTGCTTTAAAAAATATATTATGCTTATTTTAAAGTAAAAATTGGAAAAACTTTTGTTTGTAAGGCATGCGAAGAAGGGTTAAGATATTGGAATAATGGATCCATGCGATTCCTACCATTTGGAATATCTGCGATATGGAGAGAGCCAACAAGTCACCACGATGACTGTTATTTACGCATGTGCATATAATATATGGATATAATTCTAACAATTTCAAAAACATTGCTTATCCGAACCTCAAGTCTGCAGTTAGACCAGTGCCACATGACTGACCTCCTGAGAATCCAGCCAATTTAGAAGAAGATACCAATTTTAATGACATTAGTGATATATGGAGTGTTTCTTAACAACCACAGTTATTTTCACAATCACAACTTAACGACATAATGAGAGACTTAGATTTGCCTAAGGATCTGTCCGAAACTTCAGCATCTAGCATATTTCAGGAAGCGCGAAAGGAAATTTATAGGGCATTTTGAACAAAGTGGTTCTCTTATTTATTGCATCGATATATCTAATCTAATAAAGAAACTTGATACAGGTCACAATTCTGAGGACCGGAGGGTTTTTATTGCCTCATCCAAATGAAAAAATACTACGAAAATTTGGAACTCCTGCTTGAGAAAATCAAATACAAATACTATAGATGATTTGAGGAATTACGGGACAGGCCAAAAACTCCCGGATCAAAAAATATTCTTCAGGATAGTCTTATTGGTCCACGAAAAATTATCTCACCATTAGGTGTGATGAAGCAGTTCATTAAAACTTTAATAAATTTGTTTAAAATACCTATGTGGAAATTTTCCCCCTCTTTTAGATGCAAAACTAAAGGAAGGAATTTTTAATTAATTTAATTAATGGAAGACGATGGATTTGTGAATGCAATTATCGAATCTGAAAAAGTTGCTTAGGGTTCATATTATAAAAGGTTTTCTAGGAGACAACAAATATCCAGATTACAAAGACATTGTAGAAAACGTATTAGAGAAATTTAGGGAAATGGGATGCAATATAAGTATAAAACTACAGTTTTTACACTCACATCCGGACTACTTTCGTGGTGGCAAGATATAAATAAAATGAAAGGCAGATATCAAAGTCGATGGAAGGTTGCAATGATGGCAGATTACTTCTGGACATTACAAAGGGCACAGTCAGACCATGGAATATGCAAAAAAAATCACTAAACGAAATTTTTCTTGTTCTAATAAAAGTAATGTTTAAATTAACCGAGATTTTCATTTAGTAATTCTTTCAATGTTGATAAAAACCTTACGTGATAGAGGAAAATTCTTATCAGATTTAAATCTGGAGGGCCTAAATTATACGGAATCAAGTGTCAGATCCAAATCAACTTTCAAAATTTTTAAAACTGATGGTTTCTGTAATTTAATAACTGAGCTAAATACCTTTCTAATGACCAATATACGAACATAGGACCATCGAGAAAACTAATATGCTAATGTAAATTTTAAGGTGAAATTCTGAGCAATTTCCAAACTGAACTGCCGGTTCACGCAGACGGTTGCGATGGAAATTTGTTCTTCATTTGGCCCATGACGATCGTACATAAAATCAACGAGGAGTCTCCTTTTTATTACTTGTCGGCTAGTGACATGTTGCAAGAAAGATTCGAAATTGTTGTTATACTAGAAGGTAAGTGTGCGTTAAAAGTCCTGAAATAGCCAAAAGGTCTAATTAGACCAATCTAAAGCCCGCGAGACATGATGAAAATTCTACACGTTTTTTCTAACGTAAATTTACTACCAAATTGCAAAAAGTTTGGCGGATAAAATCTACCCAAAAAGTTTGTTTTCAAATAATAAATGTAACTTAAGTCGAAATAACAACAAATGTACTTTTATAGAGAAAACTATGCGACCCTAGATATGGGAAAAGAAAAATATAAATACAAATGATGTCCAACAAACAACTGTAAAATCTTTAAAAAGAAAAATTAAAAACCAATATAAAACAAGCCATTGTTTATAAAAAATTTATTTTAATTTACCTTAAATTAGCCCTAAATCTACGAGAATTGCACAGAAATTAGTTTTAGAGACTAAAAAATTAATATAATTTGAGCATTTAAAAATAGTCTGTGAGAACATATTTCAAACTACTATCGATTAAAATATTATGATCTATTTATTCTTATAATTCAAATAAAGACCAATATTATTATCATCATTATTATTATTATTGTTATTATTATTGTTAATATTACTATTATTATTAGCACAAAAACAATAGAAGTATTATCATTAATATATTGAATTTTATTCGGCACTTCAAACAAACATTCAATTTCTCTCGCTATTTTTGAATTTATATTATACGTCCCATTATATCCGCGATAAATGGATTTTTGCATAAAATTTAGTCATTTAATCGAAAACACAAACAACCTTTAAAACCAAAATTCCATCAAAATAATCATGAATATTTTGCTCGAAAAAATTCATTATCAAATCTCTTAACATATTTGACACAAAAACAGTATCACTAAAATTGAAATATTAGATATTCTTAAATAATACAATATGTAAATTAGATATTGTTACCTATCCAATTTACTAACGTAGCTTTCTAAATCTTATGAAAAATTATCTCCCTTATCATCCGTTCGTTTATTTCATTTATTTATTTTTGCATTCCCTACTCTAAAATAGCTAATTATGCACTAATTAGTTACGCACAAACTGTCACATTAAAGCTACATAACGTCCTTTAGTTACGGGTTGGGACCGATCGGATGATATGCAAAAATGTATCCAAAAACTAACGTTCGTAAAAAAATGTAGTATACACATGTATAAAGTTCTTCAGACACCTAAACAGCCTTAACAAACTAGTGTCTAAAGTACCGTTTGTAAAACCTATTGCAAAATATACTATATTCAACATATTTTCTTCCATTTTTCTAAAAATTAAGAAAAACTTGACTTTGTCCATTAATTCAAGTATTTGTAAGTATATGCAACAATTTTAGCGCCAAAAAAGTCTAAAAAATATGTATAAATAATATTTAAAACAATGAATTTGGCGAAGGATTATAAAGAGCATGTAATCATATTAATTTAAGCAGCTTACTCGCAGACCACAAATCTAACTTTCCAGGAACAATCGAAAGCACAGGCCAAACGACTCAGGCTAGATCGAGTTATTTGGCGAGCGAAGTCCTATGGGGCCATCGGTTCGAGTCAGTAGTTTCGTACAACAAAGACAGGCAGGGCTTCGAAGTAAACTACTCGAAATTCGACAATACTTTGGCGGTCGATACGCCACTGTGTTCAGGGGCGGATCTCGCCGAGTTTTATAGGATACGAGACTTGCCCGGTAAGTAGTGAGTGCCGCAAACAAAGTTCCCCAACTCGACTGACCTATTAGAAGTATATGGAAAATGCATATAGATAGACCTTTAAAAATTGAGATGCTGTCATAAGAAACTATCATCTCTATTTCAAAAATATTAAAAACCCGCAGCTACTTGAACCACGCACCGACTTCATTTTTTTTAATGGAATGGAATATTATTGCATTTCTCGATTTTATGAAAAATTCTGTGTTTTTTGTAAAGTGTGTAACATTTTCAAAACATTTCTTTCACAAATTTTGACGAACTACTTCTCTATCATGAAAACAATTATCTATATTTCCACCATTTTAGATAAAAATCTGAAATGTTGTTTACGGTTTGTCAATAACTGTGTTATATAATAACACATACAGGGTGTTTACGCAACTCGAGCCGCGTTCGAGTTATTGAGGTCACGTATGATTATTAAATTTGTAGGAAAATATATTTAACCAGTTTCATCAAAACGGTTTTATTATAGTTTCGTTGAAAAAAAAAAGTACATCACCAGCATATTGATATGATCTCATCTTATCCGCAGTATATACACTAAAGAGAAGTGGTCCGAGAACTCCTTGTTTTCGCCCTTCTAAATAATTTACTAACAGCTCTACAGAACCCGGCCCAAGATCCAAATACCCTAGCTCAGCAGTCAGCTGCCTATGATCGAGGGCGTCAAATGCTTTGGTATAGTCCAACCATACAAGGCAAGTATTTAATCCCTGATCATTACGATTATATATCTGTAGATAAAATATATTCTTTAGTTTAGTTTTCGCCAGCGCGGTATTTCTTTATTTATTTGTTCTGCATGCAATTATAAAGGGTTATGTTTACATTATTTCTTTTAACGGACGTGAGCCGAACACAAAAAGAAGCCGCTTTTCGGTGTTTCCTGAGAGTTCGGATGTACTTTTGATGCGTACCGACGAAAGGTTTAAAAGCAGGTCACGACACTTGACCACGAGCATTATGTATTAGACGATCAAACTAAAAAGACGTAAAAGAAGTGGGTAAGACGAGTAGACGAATTGTTAGACGAAAGACGAGTAGACGAATTGTTAGACGAAAGACGAGTAGACGAATTGTTAGACGAAAGACGGGCAGACGAATAGTTGTTGTCCATGCCAAGTGTAAAAGGAGTTGTTGTGCGCTGTGTAAATAAGTTAAAGTATAGTCCTATTTAATTTGCCAGAACGTCGGACTGTGCTTATTTCCTCAGAACCTTAGACATCGATAAACAATCCTACATATCAGACACGTGTATTAAAGCTGTCGAAATTGCGACTTAGTGTCAGGAATAATGTTTTGTCCAAAAAAGTGTGAGCTTAGTTGTTGATATGGGTTCTTTTCACAGATTTTTGAAAAAATAGCTCTGTGGATACGGAAAAACATAACTCATTATCGGAAGTGAGATGTGATCCAAACCATTATTCGGAACGTGACTTTCACAAGCTCGTTTTTGGTGACTTCATGAAAAATTCAGTTCGGATATGAAATCATTGTTAGAACTGTGATTTATTGAACAGAAAGATAAATTTTAAATAGCATCTATGGGGCGCAAGCCAATTTTTTAATGCACTTTTTTTTTAATTTTCCTACACTTCTAATAGGCCATCGGCCATGTTAGTCCTTAATATCGACACGCCTCGCAAATTTACTAAATCCTGCTTAACCCCTGCCATTACTAATCAAATAATGGCATATACAGTGGACTAATCCTTCCTATCGCTTACTAACTGATTGTTTTAACTTTTCTAGATAACACGGAATTCGTGGCAGCGAACGAAGTCTCAGCCCCGCCAATTTAGCACTGAAATTCTCCTCTATTGTCGCTTTTGATTATTTGCAGATGATGAAAAATCTCGACGCGCCACCGACGACAAATTTATACTGCAGTCCCCGCCTCCACAGCGCCCTCTCAACGCGATATCAGAAACTAACGGAAAGACAAATCGCCAGAACAGTTTTTTTGGTGAAAACGACGAAACCCAACCGTTCCCAACAAATTTCGTGTAATTCGAATAAACAAATATCTACCTAGCAAATCTTGTAAGGTAAAGCCATATAGCTATTAGAACATATAGTGGCCGTAAGTATAAAAAAATTGATGCGCCTCTGGCGGCTAATCTGCACTGTGCACCATATTTAGCTGAAGATTTGGTCACAAACTCAGAACTGTCGATCAGCGGCCATGTTGAGTGGTGAATACCGCTGGCTCTTATTGATTGAAAGCCTAATTTCAAATGACCATGTGCATCTCGACACTTTCTCATGGTGGCTTCAAGGCCTCTACATATCTAGTAGCTATATTTGTATAAATTGTCTCAAAGTATATCTGTCGTCTTTCCTTTTCATGGAAATTATCGAAATAATCTGCCGAGGGCTATAAAACAGCTAACCAATCGATATTACCAATCCACAGTGGCCATTAATATTAATTACAATGGGCTCTATGTTATTTGGCGTGCAAATATAAGAATCTTAAAATAAATCAATGAATAAATTATTGGTTGTGTACGAACATATACAAAATGTAGTGTAGTCTAACCTAGGAAAGAGTTGAGGAAAAAAGGCACAGTACAATTAATAAATATACAATTTGAAACAAAAAAGAAAAAATGATGAAAAAGACTTAGAACATAAAAACCAAAGAAAGAATTAAGTTACAAGTTACTACTCATGAAAGTGTTAGTTTATTTAAAGAAAATAGAACCACAATAGTCTCTCCGCTTTAGAATTACTTGTGATCGCGTGGAGATGTCCCGTAATCTATTACAAATTTTGTCTAATCGCCATAAGAAATGAACGTTCGACAATCGAAACTAACCAAAAAGGTTTTTTCTGTACGAGTTGGCGAAAATTAAATATTATGACAGTTTGTGTACAGTTATGGTTACTTACGCTTCTTTTCGTCTCGTTTGGCCCAAAATCAGGTTTATTGTACACCGCTTCCAACAGCAAACTATACAACTAAACAAATGTGAACAACCTGGTTCCAAATGAAAAATAAAAACAAATGACACAAACGGAAAATTTATTTTAGGTACAAAATTCATGACCTAAACTGTCAACATTAAAAAATGTGGCAACGTCGCACGTAGTGAAAACGAGCTTTCCAGACGTAGCGACACGAATATGAGTCACTAGAAGTTAAATGATGAATAATGAAAAACAGAAATCAAAATAATGAAGAGTTAAGCGGAAATGCTGAAAAAGCAAATCTCAAAATTTCAGAAAAGTTGTCATTTTAGGCAAGATTTTCATTTTTTGTACCTTTCTAAGCATTTTCTGATTTGAAGCAGTTTACTAAGAGTGCATCTGACTATAGCGATATTATGAGGTCATATTTGAATTGGAAATATTGTTATTATTTTAAGCACTGTATTTTTCAATTTTTCATAATTTGATTTATATTTCCCACGGACGATTTTTGTAAATTCTTGTCAAGGAAGAATATTTATGAAATGTGGGAATTTTCTTCCCAAGTTTATTATCATCACTCGATTCAAACTCGTAATAAAAGAAACACCAAAAATATCATTTCTATTTCTAAGTAATTTTTTCACAACTACGCATACTGAACCTACATTCATAATCTATGGATTGGGTTCACGGTGCATTATACCGAGTGACTCAAAAATATGCGGCATAACCCAAATTTGGTTTTTCAAAGTTAGCACACTTAGTTGTCCTACAATATCCATGATCTTATCAACATACCGCCATCATGTAAAAATTTTAAATTTAACAAAATAAGGTGTTTTAAATCCTTAGAATGTTGATAAAAGTTACTAATAATTATTTATTCAGTTTGATTTTTGGGATTTTGGGAAATACAAATGAAAAAAAAAGTAAGCATTGATCGACGTATGTAAATGACCTTTCTTAATTTTAAAAGTGTTCTATCGACTGTTACAATAAAGTTATACACCCTGTATGCTACTAGTATATGGTGATTCGAGATAAACAATTCTGTACAGATTCCAAAGCGCAACAGAGGTCTGAGAGCATTGAAGTTGGCTTTAGTTGGAGGATTTATGGTTGCTGTGGCTGGTCACATTTAAGGTTGTGGATTTGTTATATTGTTTTTGTGTGAAAAGTTCTGTGATATGCCAGTGAAAATATTACTCAATATGTATTATATCAAATTTAATTCATCCTAGTTTTATTGATCGAGCCTTTTTAAGGCGATATTCGGTTAGCTCCACTGCCACTGCCAGCTGTCCGTAAACAAACTCGTGACTAAAGTCATAATTTTAAAAGCTTAATATGAGTATCATTTGTTTTGTACCATGTGGATAAATATGGATATAGATCTCGGTAACTATAAGAACTACGAACTCAGTGGTGAAAATCAGAATTATGGTCTTTTATTTTCATCAACAATCAAGCTATCAGCAAGTTCGATTTTTCAAAGATTCCGGCAAACGTCTATTGCTTTCCTTGTTTCTAAAATATTAAAAGAGAAATTTACGACGAGCGACCCGACACATCTATCAATATACCATAGACGCGCGAAAGAACACCTGATCGGCGCAGCGACCAATAATTATAAACGCGGGAAAGAACACCTGAACATAGACCGCGCCTTTCGAGATATAACTCGAACATTAATACTCACCACCAGAAGGCGCTGCGATCAATAAAAGCGAAACAAAGTCGAAGTTATGATCGCTTAATGATTTTAATTGTTCTTTTGAGAGGAACAAATTTTGACTTCCGTTGAAGTTTTTCGCGAAATAACGAAAATAATTTAACCGTCGCGTTTAACAAACGTGAACGATTTTAGTTGTTTTGAACACGCAGCAATTGGTGTTCTTCTGATGCGATTCGTGAACATGAACGAGATCTTCTTTAAATACCGTGTCCTCCCAGAACATTGCCGATCAGTTCATCATTCCATACCACTGGCAAGCATTTTTGAGGCAAACTTTGGCGATGGAGCAATTTATATTTTTTATTTCATATTACGTGGGCAAAATACTGCAGCGCTCTTGAACCTTGTGCACACTGTTTGAGTGAGTGTTCATGCTTCCAACGTAATAAGCTCATTAAGCTTTTAATTATATTGTTGATTTTGCTGAGGACTATCTCAATTGTTTTTCTTTATATCTACAATCTTAAATTACCTGCAAATCATCTTTGTCTGTTGTTAATAAGACCGTGTCGTCAGAGATCCTGAATAGTAGCTTCTCTGGATATTTTTTCTACATATAAATTACACAAAAGGGGGGAAACCACACAGCCTTGTCGAACTCCTCTCACAATTGGTAACAGGTACTTCTTCAGATATCTCGCCGTCAAATTTTATGTCAGCTATTTGGTGCCCGATCATAGATAAATTAAAGATAGTCGACTATATAGCAACGGGAATGGGGGGAAAAATATTTTGACACCCACGGGAAATAAATCTGCGTGCACTATTTCGGGCAGCACTGGAGCCAGGAGGTGAAGATATATTTATTTGAAATTGAATGTAATGTCGCTTAGGCATTGATAAGGGTAGAAAATGTAGCAGGCGTGCAACAAATACGTAGGAAATTCTAAAAATATTGAAAAAAGATTCCAGGCAGAAAATTCCAAAGGAGATTGGATACAAACATAGAGTTAAAAGCTATTTTATCCCAGATGTAGAAAAGCTAGATATATCGACTTCGTGTTACAATGTAGGCTGCTGTTAGATCTGCAGAAGATAGAGTTGGAAGAATTAAAGGAACTACGCCAAGAGCAAGAGAACGACCCCAATTAGAAACTTCTCTTACGAAAAAATTCTTACTAAGCTCCATGGGATTTCCTTGACTTTGCTTTGACAATGGGCGCCTAAAACATGCGCTGAAGAATAAGGATGGTTTATTGGGAAGAGTTGCAAAGAGAAGAGTTTACGAAGTTTCGGAGCAAAAGAAGACATACTAATGTCTTCAATATGGTTCCTTGTGTGCACCGCGCGCTTTTGACCACTTGATATTGTGTTATTTGGTCCATACATATTCCGCGATTCCTACTCTTTGGATTCCATGTTTTTCCATTCTAATGTTTAAAGGCTTTCTCGATTCTCCACATTCACAGAGTATTTGCTAGATACACTCTTTCTTTTGAGTCTTTGTCTGTCTCTTGGCTTTGTTCTTGTAAGTATACTCCTTAATGTCGTCCCAAACCCGAATTGTTTTGCTATTCGACTGATCTTTTTTAAGATTCGCTTCACGCGAGACTAGCGAGACTGGCGTTTCGGTCTCGTAGCTATGCGTATGCTAATGTGATGTTGCCGCTATTACTCAAAAATATACATGGTTTTGAATTTTTACAGCAACTGTCCTACATCAACATACTCCCTGCGTTTCAACAATAACTTGACAATATAATAGCATGTAGAATGTTGAAACAACTTGTACTTTTTGCCAGAATGTAAACATAATCGGTAAAAACAGTTCAGATATTCGCGTCATCGCTCAAAAGTAAGACACATACACCTTGCACTGCACCAGGATGCAGCTCTTGGACCCTACCTAGCAACCAATATAAGGGAGGCAGGTTCGGGTCCTTCAGGATGACAATGGAGTTGATTCTGATTTAATCTTGTGGAGATTTGACGTGACTGTAACTGTTGCAGATATTCTCTATTTGTAGCAAATAGTGGTATTTTGTTCGTGATGATTATTCCCACCAACAAAATTAGCTCCATTGTGACTAAAAATGTGAGTTGGCTTTCATGTTCTAGAAATAAACCTTTTAAAAGTATTTAAAAATGATTCGGTTGTCAGATTGCTAACAAGTTCTAAATGTACGGCCTTTGTGGTCATACATACAAATAGACACAAGTAGACTTTAGTAAATTTGCGAATTCTAAGCTTTGTCACTTTTATTTCAAACGGACCTGCGTAGTCAATCCCACAGCTTGTGAATGGACGACATGGAGCTATACGAACAGGTAAGTCACCCATTAATGTATTATAATACTTTTTTTGCTCTGAAACAAATTATGCAACTGTGTAATACACTACGAATGGTTGATCGTCCTGACAGAGACCAGTATTTTTGTCGAATTATTGCCAAAAAGAATTGAATGTTCATGTGTAGGTTTTGAATGTATTCGTGTCGGATAATAAGTCTTGTGACTGAATGTTTACGTGGCAAGATTATTTGATGTTTGGTATCAAATGGAAGTTGAGAACAAGTCAACAGTCGTCCTATTCTAAGGATGCCGCAAGAATCCAGAAAAGGTTTGAAAGATTTAAGCTTGCTTTTGTTTAGGATCGATAAGGGATAATCTAAGAACGGTTAGTACTCCTCTCTTGATCTTCATTTGCCAACTGCAGTGTCTGCCGCAATCCCAAGTATCAGGTGTTTGGATTTATTTCTGTGCCTATTGAAAACAATCAGAGGAGACTTACAACTTCCACCATTTGGTCCATCGAGAAGGATATTAATTAAAACCAGTGAATAAACGCTTCGATTTATTATTTTCTAGTAAAATCATCATCAATTCTCAGTAAAGCCATTGTTTATAAACAATCAGTGAAAAAGTAACAAGTGACAGTCGACGGAAATTTGAGAAAAAATTTCGAGATGTAAACAGCGAACCGCGCTACGTGCGACAGCCAACGCGTTGCTGAGCGGCCAGACAGACGGCGCCGCAGAGCGCGCGTTCAGCCTCTATTTGCCTTTGAATCCGTGCCGCAGTTGCGGCGGCGTGGTAATAATTTATAAAACAAGAAGATTGGGTGAGACAATTTCTTTTAACCGTTCCTTTTTGTTTACTTATTTTGAATCATTTATCTCGATTTGAGGATTTCTTAACACATTAACGCAAAATTCTGATTTGATTATAGAACTTTCGAGTCGCTTAGCCGCATGCGTGCTATTTGGTGACATACAGAGCCAATTGGAACTTATTGATGATAATGAAATTAACCGTAGATATGAATTTGAAGACAAATATTTTTCTTTGACGAGCAAAGCGAAATTTATGTTAGATGAGAATCAGTCAGTACCCCAAATTAATGTTGATCAAACAGAAAATCAATTTTTCAAATATCAGACTAAAAACTACATTGGGCTTACCAGAATTTCATGGGCAGTACCGTCAATGGTTACAGCGGTCCGATACTTTTAAATCTCTTATTCATTCAAGGCCTCAATATTCTAATATAGAAAAGTTTTATTATTTAAAATCAGCATGCAAAGGCCAAGCAGCTGATGTAATACACTCAATAGAAGTAACATCAAATAATTATGAAATTGTGAATTTTGGAAAATCGAGGAGTGTGAATTGAAGACCAGTCGGAGCAAAGAGAAATTAGAATGTGAAGAACTTTTCCTTAAGACAACAAGACGAGACGACACCGGTCGCTTCATCGTCGAGCTACCAATCAAAGACAATCTTACCGACCTAGGAGATTCACATCAGAATGCTTTAAAGAGAATCAATTCACCCGAACGCAAATTTAGCACTGACGGGAAATCTACATATATCTCCAACTTGGAAACATGTCAGAAGTAGAATTTCAACCACTTAACAACGAAAAACAGCAAATTTGCTATCTCCCACATCATGGTGTAATAAAACAATGCAGCGCTACCAGTTACGAGCAGTTTTCGACGACAAACGACAAACTAAAAGTGGGTCCAATAATACAGCAAGAATTATTTGATATTCTCATCAAATTCAGAAAGCATAACGTTGTCATCGCAGCAGATGTTGAAAAAATGTATCGCAAAGTCATCATCACAGAGAGTCAGCGAAACTTACAGCGCATATTACGGAACAGCATGTGCATCATTTCTTACAACCAGATGCCTTCTTCAAATAGGAATTGAAAACCAAGACAGATATACTCTTGAAAGTCACGTAATCATGAACGACTTTTATGTAGACGATCTTCTTAGTGGTTCGAAAACACCAGAAGCAGCAAATAATTTAAAAGAAGGTATCAGTCGAATTTTATCCCAATATGGATTCAATCTCAGAAAATGGACTTCAAACTATCCTTCAGTTCTCAAATGTATACCAGATGATCAAAAATCAGTACAGCACCATCTGTCAAACAGCGAAATCACAAAGACCCTAGGTTTATTGTGGAATTCAGAATGAGATTCGTTAAAATATTCCACTTCAGATATTTCATTCATCAAACCTACCAAGCGAACCATACTTTCAAGCCTTTCAAAAATCTTCGATTCTCTTGGACTCACCAGCCCCTGTGTCTTAAAGGCAAAATTAATTATTCAGAGGAATTTATCCAAATCAATTAATTGAAAACAACATTTTTAGGAAACAATGAAAGCCTATGGTCAACACCAATAAACCGAATTGTTGCATATTGCTTAAGATTCAGCAGAAGTGCATCTAAATCTGAGCCCTTGTCTGTTGATGAAATTGAGCATGCCGAAATTGTTCTTATCAGACTTGCTCAAAGACAATCTTTCCCTCAGGAGAATTTAAAGAATTGATAATGATTTTGCCAGAAAATAATAAATCAAAGCGTTAATTCACTGATTTTAATTAATATCCTTCTCAATCAACCAAATGGTGGAAGTTGTAAGTCTCCTCTGATTATTTTCAATAGGCACACAAAATAAATCCAAACACCTGATACTTGGGATTGAGGCAGATACTGCAGTTGGCAAATCAAGATCAAGAGAGGAGTACTAACCGTTCTTAGATTAGGCAGTGGAATTAGACTGGATTGAAGAGTTGTGCGAAGCCCGCTGCAAGTCAACTCACACCAATTGGAGTTCTTGTATATTGTTTCAAACCGAGAGGAAATCAAGAAGAAAGTGCTGCCGCACGTAATAAAAGTTAAAGTCCAGTGTGAGCGATCCGGCGCATCCACCAACAACCAAAAACGCGGGGACGAAAGCCTGCATGACTACCAAGTATTCGTTGCTTATCACCAGAGGGAGCAACGATCTTACCACTATATCTTCGTGGTCCGTTATTTTTATTTGAAACCGTCAATTACAATTCCATGAAACTAATAACAGGCATGTGCGTTATACCATTTGCCCAAATCTGCATATTTGCGCTTCATAAATCCTAAAAGGGAAACAAACCAGGCGTGGCTTTGAGGATTTTCAGAAAGTCATATTGCCAAATATTCAAGATCCCGACAGTATAGTTTTTCGTTGATGATTTAAGGGCTGTCCAATAATATACATCACGCACTTGACTTTCAATAACAGCAGCCAAAGAATAAATAAAAACCCTTGATCTGCTATAATTTTTGATTTCATATCCTAATACTATAAAAAATTGTGGATAGTCCTTGTTAGACCCACTGCAAGGACCCTGACCCTGGAAAATAGTTGCAAAAAATAAAGTACAAACCCTCTCTATTATTTCTTCAGTCAGATAAGGCATTTATATACAATATCAATTTAAATAATCACCAGATGTCAAATTACTGTTGATGGTGTTCAGCACATTGACATCATATCCTATCATAGGTTTCTGCAGTAGATATCACTGTTGGTCTAAAACCACTCAACACAAACACAGTTCCGTCCTGAAATATTAATTATTATATTAAATTCACGGTTTTACAAGAAAAAAATGGAACTTACTTTAACAAGACCCGGAATTGATCTCCAAAAGTCAATATTTGGTATAATTTCAATTCCTCTAGCACCACGCACAAAATGCATAATTAAACACCCACCAACAAGATAGATAGCTCCAAAAACAAATAGCAATATCAGAAAAATAGAGCCAATGCTCAATCCAGAACTACCTACACTTTTAAGGCAAGCCTGTTCTGAAAATAAAATGAGCGCCTAAAAATAAATAAACGATACATTCAATAAACTAGAAATATATATACATATATATATATATTTACATCTCCAGTACTGGTAGCTTTTAAATAACTTGGAGTATAGTGAACACAGACCAATTGCACACTTGGCAAATTATTCGTTCTGGTTTGATTATAAACAAGTTGGTAGTAACTTGATTTATCAGATTCTTCGAAGAGAATATGCAGGTCCGTACCAATAGCCGAACAGTTGTAACTGATATCCGTTTTATTTTCTGTTTTCGTGACAATTGTAACACATTTAATTAGCTACAAAATGTCACGTCAGTAGGTACTACGAAGATTTAATCAAATTTATATCTTACAGATCCCAATAAATTATTTGCAATTTGGATGTTATATATTTTTCCATCAAATTCCTGATCCTTGCAACCAGAAAAAAAGTAAGTGTTATTTCCAATTGTGTCTGTCAAAAATGGACTGTCCGATTTTGGTGGAATTAAATCTTTTAGATTGATTTCTGTATAGTCATCAAATTTACAAATACAGGGGCCCTGTTGAACACACTTATTTCCAGTGGATAGTTGTATTGCGCACAATATTAGTATTAAAATGGAATAAAATTTACATCTTATTATTGAATTAGCCATTGCTTTTTAACATTCCCTGAAATAAAAGGTCTTTATCATTGTTTTTGCAAAGTTAAATTATTGTGAAGACATGCGTCTTATCAATGGAAATGTTGAAAAATAAGCATAGATGATCCTTTTCTTCTTCTTATTGCAGTACTTTTTTATAAGTAACAAAATAATCTGTAATATCCTATTTTTAAAAATAAATGAAATTAAATGTTCAGAGACCACTGAATTCCTATAGAAATGCTACAAAAAACTTTACTCTCCCAAGAACCGGAAAGGGAGCAGCTCCGATTTGAAGAAGCACAGCAAACTTCCATTGTTCCTCTCGTTTCACTTATAAACTAGGCCAATCTACTCTGGGCACTCGCCGATTGCTGGCATCCATCCATGAAATTTTTCATTTCTGTCACACATATATAGTGACTTCGTTTCTCAAAAAATTGTTCACATTGTTCCAAAATGTATTAAGCGATACTAAAAAAGCCCCCACTGGGCCATCAGGACCCATCCGGGCTCCAATAGTGAGTGTAACATTTATCACATTCGCAAAACAATAAAACCATTTAATTCACACCGATACCAATACTTTTGGGACGAATACAAAGATTTTACCGGAAGTGTGCGAAAGTTAAACCGCCGAGTGCAATGCTAGTGACAAAATCCCGGTATCCGTCAATTAATGTTTTCTATAGTTCATGGGTTACTTGAGAACTAAAGCCGATAGCTCCTAGGTAATTTGGCCAATAACAGGAAAGAAGAACCAAAACTATCTCATTTGTGCAGTCCTTCCCAATTCAATAGCAGTAAAAGAAAACATGTTTGTGAAATACAATAAACAGGAAATATTGTTTATATGCCATTGACTCGTCATTCCTTGAGAGCTATTTTTATGTTACGTTATAGTTAAAATATTCTTATTTTTAGAATAATTTTGCTAGATACAATGAAAAAATGTTTATCTGATTTAATCTGAATAACAAATTTTATCTTGACTCTTCCAACCTTGTTTAGAAGCAGTTTTTGTAAGCATTATTGATTTTTTTACTGACTAAGCCACAAATTTGTAGTTCATTTTGTAATTGTATCAGTTTATAATCTTATAAACACAGGACATGAGTAATCCATCAGAAATAGTGAATTCTCTGAGAAATTCATTCTATAATGGGAGGACAAGATCGGTGGAATATAGAATTAAGCAACTTCAATCCCTGTATCGTATGTACACGGAAAAAGAAAATGAATTGTTGAATGCCCTTTATGCAGACCTGCGAAAAAGTAAGCAAGAATCAGTTACAACAGAGATTGACTTCTTAAAGAATGATATAAAAAATACATTGTATAACATTTATTCTTGGACAAAACCCCAGTATGTCCAGAAAGATTTTGCAAACCTATTGGACACTCCCTATGTACAGAATGACCCTTATGGTCTAGCTCTTGTAATTGGTAGTTGGAATTACCCCCTACAATTGCTACTACTTCCTGTTGCGGGTGCTATTGCTGCAGGAAATTGTGTGGTTATCAAACCCTCAGAAGTGTCTAAATCTTGTGCAGAATTGCTTGGGAAGCTCATTCCCAAATATCTTGATCAGGATTGTTACAGGGTTAGTGGATAATGTGTAATGCATTGCTCACCAATTGTTGTCGTTAAATTGTAGGTATTCACTGGAGGAGTAAAGGAAACCACTGAACTCTTAAAAGAGAGATTTGATTATATCTTTTATACAGGAAATTCAAATGTTGGAAGGATTGTTCATGCTGCTGCAAACAATTTTTTGACACCTACAACTTTAGAACTTGGTGGTAAACCATTTGACTATTCCATTTGTAAATGGTGCCCAGTAACAAAATTTTGTACACTCAGGTGGACAATAATTTATGTGTATTTAATAGTTTAAATTTGTCCCTTTTCAAATCGCATATTTGGTTTCTCTGCACCATTTAGAAGTAGATTTTAATACTAATTATTGAATATTATAGGGAAGTCACCTTGTTATATTGATAATTCTGCATATCTAAAGTATATGGCGCGTAGGATTTTGTGGGGCAAAACTTTAAATATGGGCCAGACTTGTGTTGCCCCAGACTACATTTTATGTACAAAGGACATGCAAGAAAAGTTTATTGATGCATATAGGGCCACTATCAAAGAATTCTTTGGAGAAAATCCCAAAGAGTCACCTGATTTAGCCAGAATTGTAAATGACCATCATTTTCACAGGTAATAAAAATACAAGTTATTATTACATTATAATTTTGTAAATTTGTAGACTAATTGAACTATTGAAAAGTGGTAGCACCCGAGTGGGTGGTGATTATGATATAAAAGAAAGGTACATTGCACCAACAATTCTCACAGAAGTTGATCTAAATTCCAAAATAATGCAAGAAGAAATTTTTGGACCAATTTTGCCTATCGTGAATGTTGATAATGTTTATGAAGCAATAAATTTTATAAACTGCAGGGAAAAACCCCTGGCACTGTATATTTTTTCAAATAATAAAAAGGATACAGAGCTCATTTTACAAAATACAAGCTCTGGCAGTGTGGCTGTAAATGATACTGTGATGCAATTGGTCGTCGACACTTTACCTTTTGGTGGTGTTGGCACAAGTGGTATGGGTAATTACCATGGAAAATATAGCTTTGACACATTTTCTCACAAAAAATCTGTTCTGTATAAAGATTTGGGAATGCTTGGTGAAGTATTAAGTTCTTCTAGATATCCTCCTTATTCAGAAAAAAAGTTGGCTTATTTAAAGTTTATGTTAGCTAAAAGACCAGGTATAAATGTAGGTAGGTCCGTGACTCATATATTATCATTTTTAACTGGCATATGGGCCTTGTATGTCTGGCAAAATTATGGGTTCAAAATTGGTAATTGGATGTAAGAAGTAACTGAATTGTGGGTTAAGTGGAATGGGGCATTTATATTTTTATGGACTCCTTGGTCTTCCAATTAATAATTTATATTTCTCATAGATTTATAATCATTATTTTTAATCAAAGTCAAATATAAAATCTCCACATAAGAAACTATAGCAGCAAATGCACTTATTGTTAGGCAAAAAAAGAGGGTTGTTTGAAGTATATAATTAGTAATTGTCAGTATAAGTTTATGAATTTTTATATCAAATTTAGTATTACTGAGTTGCTATGATGTACTTAATTGTAGGTCCCCTAAATAAATGTTTTGTTTTCTTTGAGCCAGGTTTTATTTTTTTATAGAATTTCCACAGCCAAAGTTATGGTAAATGTGCTAAAAAAAATTTAAAACCCTATGAGGATCGTGATAGAGACAAGACATGAAAGTTTATTAACATCATCTATTTTCTAGACCATGAAAATCTCTTCCCAACATAAATATCTCTGCAGAGTCGGATCGGCTAGCTTTTGGCTTAACAATTTTTACAGTTTTGTAGAATTTTAACATATCATCTTGGAGAGTTTTGGCGTCTGCACATTGCCATAATTTTAACAACACTGACGCACCTGGTTTTGAAATTTGTAAAGCAAATTTTAAAGCTAAATAACACAATTTTACAATATTTTCATAATCCAGATAGCGGATACCTGTTGCGCTGGGGGCCATATCAGAAATTACAATGTCAGCCTTCTCCCCCTTCAACACTCCTAAAATTCGATTTTGAGAATCTGGATTAGTGAAATCCAGATTGCCAATAATAATAGCTCCCTCTAAGGGATAGATTAACTGTTTATCGATGGCTACAACTTTTCCTTGTGGTTGTTTGTTATCGCAGTTGTCTGCATTCACCCGTTTAACAGCAACCTGAGTCCAAGATCCTGGAGCTGCTCCACAGTCAATAACTACCTGCCCTGGTTTCAACAGTTTTAATTTATCATCCATTTCTATTAACTTAAATGCGCTGCGGCATCTGAAATTCATCATTTTTGCCTTCTCCACGTAAGGATCTGATAATTGTCGGGATAACCAATGATTGGAACTTACTCCTTTGGATTTTCTAAGCTCACTGCTTACAACTTTTTTCATAGAAAATAAACTCAAACTAAAAGCCCTTTTCTGAAAATGCGCCATATTAATAATCCACTATAAAAAAAAGTAATTGAATAAAAAAAAAATTAAATTGATCTTTGTTTCAATTCACAAAAATAAAGTTTGATTTTTTATTACCCAGGATTATTCAATTCAAATTATAGTTAAGGGCGCACTCTTCTTCTTTCAGTAGGAGACATTTGTGTATGAAAATTGGGACACATCATCTTTAATCTAAAAGGTTAAAATATTACATAGTGGTGTCATCACACATCCTACATCATTATCAATATTATTCACTATTCGTCTTTTTTTGCGTCCTAGCTAGTCTTGCTAACTCTGTATTTTGTATTCCACGACATTGTGAAAAATATTGGGCCAATAATTAAGAAGAATTTGTTCAATTGACGCTTTAGGTTAAAGCTTATTTTGATTTAAAATTTTTAAAATAAATACCCAATGTGAATACTTCGCATTTAGTACAAAGGCAACATGCAAATCATAATAAAGTGCTTAAAAGGCGGAAGTACGATAGCTGAGGTAAACCAGAACACGCCCGTAATCGAAGTTAAGAGGAAGGTCGAAAAGGATTTAAAAATTCCGGTTGCGGAGCAAACGCTTGTCGTACTAGGATCACCCTTACAAGATGATAAGAATATAGGCGACTACCCAAAAATCAAAGAGGGCACGAAGATTTACATTGTCATCAAGAAGCTCGAAACTTTACCTGGGGCGCTCGGAAAGTTTTTGAGAAAGTATTATTCAGAAGAACAGTGCAAGTTAATAGTGGACGAATTCATGAGAAATTTTCAGACGAAGGTCGATAATTTGAGTTTGGATGATTTGGAAAGAATTGCCTTAGCCAATTTGGAGAAATAAAATGTTTGGTTGAATTTTAGTTGTACCTATTCAGTGTTTAACTTTTTTTTTTGGGAATGTTGTGGTTGAGTAGTTGTGGATAAGAAAATGAAAAGCTTAAGATAAAATAGTTTTTTAATGTGTGAAACATCTAGGTATGTAGGTTTTATAATTACATTAATATAACAAAATAAATATAAACCATTTTCAACATTTATATAATCATTTCTGATAGCAATATAAAATCAGTTAAGATTATAAAACTAAAAATATACTAAATATAATAAAAATCCAATAAGATCGCCAAAAAAAAATAGCAATGGCTAATAAACTAACAGTTCCTTTACATAAGTGACAAGGCAAGACACCATTTAACATTAGCGAACAAAAAGTGACAATTGTTGCTTTTAAATTAACTGCAACTAGTTATGTTCCTAATATACCAATCCTTAGGGATGCCTCAGATCAATAACCATATTTTATGCAAAAACATTTAAAGCTTTTGTTTCAAATTAGGTGAATCAGTCTAGTTTCTGTATAATGTAATATACTTTATACGGCGAAAGCTGGTTAAGGGAAGTCAATTTTAATGCTTCAGTTTAATCTACAATTGGAGCCAATAATTACAAAACGGCCTAGAACAAATTCTAGAAAGCAATACATTTTTCTCATAACAGAGTTGTTTATCTTATTTGGCTGGGAAAAAATTTTAAATTACTTCATTATTATAGCTTTTGGGTTATTCCTCAGAGGTGTTAGAACCAATGTGAAATGATTAAGGCCCTGTTCCTTTCCCAAAACTTGGTTAATGCCGTTCGACATCAGTTTCTGGAAAATATGATTCGAAAGGATACCGCAGACAATCTAGTATATACGGTAAGGAAATAGGTGATTTTGATATAATTTGGTAATTTTGGTGATACTATACATGGATTTCAAAATTTGACAAAAACAATCTGAGGTGATAAACAAAACAAGTAAGCACCTTAACACGTTAATTAACCCAAAACAGGCAAGGACAACTGAACAAAAATTTCAACATGTACCTAAAAATATTAACAATCATATTTAGCTTTTAGTTCCAAATTTTAAAACTAAAATGGCACAATAAATATTATCAAAGGCAGACCCATATGATTTAAACTAGAATTTTCTTATTCGATAAATTTAAGAAAAGTGCAGCCTATCTTGCTCCAAAAAAATCGACTATTTTGTTTTATGAAAAATATATTGGTTTATTACTTAAGAATGGGAAAAAATAACGTGAAAAGAGGCCTACCATCTATTTTTTACTTCTGTTCTCATTATTTCTTCAAAACAGTTTAGTAAACACATTTACGTGAATATATTTTTCTACTAAATTGAATTCTCAATTAAAAAAAACGCCCTCATTAAATATATACAAAATACAAAAAATAATAGCATTGATTTTTAGAGGGAATTTCATGCTATAACATTAATTTTTAATGGTAATTTCATACTCAAAAGAAAATTACTATTTACCTAGTCTAAGGATAAGTCCTTAAGTTCATTACTGCTAAACTCATTTTTTGATTAAGCTTCATAAATACTATTATTTTATAAGCCTAATTTTTTTTCCAACGAGTAAAATATTTTAAATAAATAATTTTCAACAGTGAATCAAATTATTTTTAGTGATTGTAATGTTGATATTAAGTGGGTGAAAAGCGAAGAAGCAAGGAGTTAATATTTTCTTCAAATCCAATCCCCAATTACTTTTAATTTAAATAATTTTATTAAAAAAAAATGTTAAGACTGCTTTTTGTAGTGCGTCAAATTCTCTACAAAAATCTGTACTGTTGTTTTTTGTATATTGCGTTGTTTGGTTAGTTACAAAATTCCAAAATTAATTAAAAAAAATATATATTAATATTGATTCCTTTATAAACGGTTGATCTGATGAAAATTTACAAACAGAGCTTTTTTGATAGAGAATTTAATTTGTTACAAAAATGTATTCAGATAAATACTTTTAACGTTAACTGTTTGGTTGTTATGACACAATAATGAGATTGGGACAAAAAAATTGAAAATATCAATGACAGCCCTCTTCTCATTAATATTAATTTCTCACAAACTTTCAGAATATATTGTTCGTCATTCGGAATGATTTAATATATATATTTTTCAATGAAACAAAGTGTCCAAGTTTCTCTCACTGTCTTAACACGTGCCAAGTGAATATTTCAGAGTAGTAGTGCACTTCCAATAATTGATCATATAACTATGGAATATGTAATCAACTGTTTATTTTTTCACTTGCAAACTAGTCTCATTAAACAAGGCGTTTTGTTCAAGTTTTTGGTGGATTTAAGTTGGTAAGTTACTTCCCACAGAGTGATACCAGCTGTTTAGTCAGTACATAACATTTTAACAGGAAAATGGGGAATATTGTAGATTCAATAATTACGCAGTTCAAAAATCCTTGTGTCATATTCTAAATGTATAAACTAATTATTTATTTTTAATAAATTCAAAAATGTTCAGCAATTAGGCTGTGTCTCCTAATGCAACCTTGGTGTGATATTTAGTGGACTTGTGTTTTAAACTTACAAACTTTCATCTGTAATTTCGAGAAACTGAGCACACTGCTCGCGAAGGCACTCACCTTTTGAATTGAAGGCGAATTTGTAATACGAACCATCAGCACAAATTACTGAAAAGAAAGGCAGTTATTATGATCATAATTAGTGTTGTGAATGAAGTTACTGGGCTTGTAACTGTTGCAGTTTTTATTGTTTAGAATAAAAGGACACAGTTAAAAAAATCTTAGTGCAGTTTATCAAAATAAAATTAGTGAACAATATAACAGGGTAAAATAAATGCAGATCAACGGAACAACTCAGTTGCTTCGTTGACAGTTCTTAACAAACTACCTACAAACCGTCCTAAAAAGTGAGCCATAGACCCATGTGGCCTAGATTATGCAGAAGTATCAATAAATCAAAAAAAGGCATAAAACTAATAGCAACACTTAAATAGCAAAATGTCTAAAACATACAGATGTTAAACAAAAATTCTCAAATAATACAATTTCTGAGTCTTCATAAATTTCAACAGTAAACCATTATTAGGAGGGAATAATCTTGCAAGCTGTTCAATGTCATATTAAAACATATCAAAAACTACAACTTGTAGAAGGCAGCCAACAGGTCTTTACTGAACGGCCAACACCTTTTGAAAAAATACATTTTTATATGAAGGTTGTGAACGGAAATTATAGACAATCTTATAAACCAAAATTATAGACAATCTTTAAGTCTATCTTTACAATATACAGAACATTACTTATTTATTTGTGACTGCCTTGATAAAGGTTTAATTACCAATTTAATTTAATTAAAATAAATAATTTGCCAACAAATTTTAATTAATTGAAAGAAGTTCTGAAAAATATTTGCGGGCTTCATCAATTTGTTTCACTATTTTTTTTTTGCATTGTTATATAAAAGTAGCAGATTTTACCTATTTGCTTTTTGTTTTTTAGCAATTTCCTTAAGAGTGGTTAAGGTTCTGAATCAAGCCCTACTTAACAAAATAAAAATAAGTTATACCAATATTTTAGCCATCATATGAATAATGATTTGAATTATGAATGAAAGGTCTTTGCAAAACATTGTTACTTTGTGGAAATTTCGTTCTAATACTTGAGTGAAGTCAAGGCAATAAAGTTTTCTGAATGTAATCAATAACAAAAGAGTACTATTACTTACCTACAATAGAATTACTGTCTGCTCCAAATGCGCAAATACATGGAGGTCCATTTGGTACAGTAAATTTACAAAATGACCATGTGGATGAAAAATATTTTGGCAGAAATGACGCGTTTGCCAAGGAAGATTGCTTATTCAGTTTGAAATCATCAAGTGCAAAAATATGTACAGTCCCATGGTCAGAGGACACACAAAGTAAAGTTGATGTATGGTTAAAATTTATACAGTAGATGTTTGCCTAAAAAAAATAAATTTATTGCCTCCTTAAAAATGAACTAAAAAAGGGTATACCTGATGAGCACCCCTCCTAAGCTCTGCTATTCGTTCCCCGCTACATGTATCAAAGACCCTAATTAGAGTTCCCTTCTCACTGGCACTTGCTAATCGTGTACCTTGCAGATTCAACGAAATACAGCTAATGTTGGCTTCATGGGCAACAATATCTAAAGGAGATTTTTCTGTATTTGCCAAATCAACCAACTAAAATATTCACTTAATCATTAAATTTGACAAATTACTAGCATATTACTTGCCTGAACATGTCCTGTCTTACGTCCAGGAAATGCCAAAATAGAATTGTTACTGTTTGGACACAGAACACATAATCCTTTTGGATTTGCACATGTTTCAAATACATGAATTTGTGTTGGTGTTTGTGTAAATGTGTAAACCTTTATTACCGATTCTAGAACTACCACAATTCTATCTCTTCGGAGTTTTACTCCTAGAACAGGATCATTGAATTCCAAGTAAATAGGTGTCGTTTTCCTCAAGTCATCCCAAATCATCACCTAAGAGTAGAAAAACAAAGTATTTTGCATCTGAAAATGCGTATACATAAGTATACACCACTCACTCTGTTAGGAGGATATAAAGGCTTTGGACCACCTCCAACAAGTGCAAGATAGTTGCATCTAAACAACATCTCCACATACCCCAGGCCACCATCTTCAAAATCCTGTCTCACTTTCTCTTTCAAAGGATCGCAATTGTATATCCTAAATCCAGCGGTTGTAGCACAAGCAAAACAACCTGGAACGATGTTAGCACTACAGCACAATAGGCGCCGAAGCTTCCAATCTTTAGTGGTAAGCTACATTACCTTGGTCTTGATTAAATCCGGCAAAAAGCAGTCCATTAACGACGGCATTATTTGAACTCAAATTCATGTCGGTGGACGAAAAATTTTCGACATTTTAAAAATACACATAACCTCCATTAAAATCTGTTCACCAACAATCGCGCACATACTAAATCTTCTTAGTTACGTTAACGCAAAGTTAGTAAGGCCACACGACCTGCAAGAAAAAAGCGTTTAAGTTCTAGTACAGGCAGTGGAACCGAGGATGGCTCAGTTGGTAAGACGTTAACCTGCCAACTCGAGCTTGGAAGTTGTGGGTTCGATTCCCATCGGGAGCGTCTTGGGTGTTGTGTGCGTGGAAAAATTGGTATCGGTAAATTTTCTTCGGCGGATGCCGGAAATTCTTAATTTGTGATGAATCTAATTAAGCGCATAATTAAAAAAAAGTAAAGGCAATGGTTGGTGATCCTGCAGTGTTTAGTAGATGTTTAAATTATACAAAATACCAAAATTGCATTTTGGTTATTAACAATGGCACGATTTTTTTCATTTTGATTTAAAGGGTGATGAATCTGAGGGATCCTTTTAATAAAAATATACACACTAATACGGACATCATCAATTGAAAAGCTCTGGCCTGGCCTTAAAGATTTTGGTTATTTGTGCCATTTTCTTGCTAAACAACGATTTCCACACACTTAATTAGTTTTTCCAGAAGACGTAACGAGATCTAGACATATTTTAAGGTTAATGGATTAAAGCGAGATTTGAAATCCCGCGCATGCGCATATTGAATGAACATTCTCAATTTTTTATACCTTCCACACAGGTATAAGATAAGCTATAATAAATATCAAGAAAGATGACGACTACGGCATAAATACGACACCAGCAAATGCCATAAGAATGCTCTTGGCTCTTAAGTTCAGGTATAGCATAGGCCTCTATATCTTTAGTGGTTTATGGAGTATTATAGAATACAGGAAGAGTACAATAACATAAGAATAACACGAATATATAATAAAATACAATAATAATCGAATTGTTTCGATATTTTAGAAATAGTCTAAATATCCAGCTGATATTATGGGAATACCACGGTGAATGTAGTCAATTTCGTATGTGGGCCTATATATGCTATTGCAACTTAGTTATACGACCTACATACTACAACCGAAAAAGGAAAGCCAAGATGTTGTCTAATTCCGCTTAGAGTGCTCTCCACGCGTTGCAAATTGATAAATAATCTACATAATATACCTAATACTTACGATGGGAAGGTAAAGATAAAATAGAAACTAATTCCGATTGCAGCATCATCTATGAGGTAAGGTCAGAACCTCAACACACCAACCACAACGCTCTTAGCGCCATTCATGGATTTTTCTTATACCTTTGCCAAGCGCTTATAAGTTTTTCATGGGATGTAATAATAATATTATAAAATCACTGAGAAAATAGTTTCTTCTCAGCTTATCAATTTTTTAAATAATAGCTTACCTGTTTCAAATTTTTTATCTAGACGTATATGTATTTTTCTTCTGCTACAGTTATAGTAATACTCATGCGAACTTATAATATAAAAATAGTTTTTATAAATTATTTTACAGACTTTGAACTTTTAACAACATTTATAACGACTTTCATGTTCTTTTATGAAATGCATTGTTTTGTTAATTTAATATTGTATAATAAGTGTTATTATTATTATTAAGATTCACGTGCCATTCATCGTGCATCACCTCGGATGTAGTCAATAATCATAGCGTTAAACTGCAAGTACTAAGATTATTATTATTATTATTATTATTATTGTTATTATTATTATTATTATTATTATTATTATCCGCAAAAGTAAGTAAAGTAAGTAAGACCTTTCCAGAAAACTTCAAAAAATGCTTTGTTAAAGAGAAAACAGTTCACACAGTCGAAAATTTCCTAATTTAATCATCACGTTTTAAGTGGTCCTTAACTATTCTGAGTCTATAGGTTAATTTAAGGGATATTTATCGGTTTTCAAAGTGCAAATCGGCCAAGAGGAAATGCTAGAAATAATTATAGAGTTTCTGAGATGTCCACCAAGGGACCCTAATTGATATCTGAAATGGTAAAACTCGGTTCCTAAAAAAATTTCTAACGTTAACCATAGTTAAAGTGCATAGTATTTTAAAGCTTGGATTAATTCGATATAATTAGTCATTAATATCAACCTGCGTTTGCTAAAATTCAACTTTTTTTGAGTGTTTTATTTATATTTTAGGTTAGTATAAAGACGCAGTTTTTACCCTTTACTTTACTCTTACAGAGAAAGCGCAAAGAGCATTAAACAAAAAAGTTTTTTTGTTCAACTTGAAATTAACACTGTAAAATAATTTCCAGCATTTTCTCTTGGCCGATGTCTTTAACAATTCTTTTTCAAATGTCTAGAACTGTCCGTTTTCCTGATACCAGTTGTCCTTACTGGGACACCCGGTATACTAGGAAACTGAAGTACAAAGAAGTACCGTATAGAAACTATCACTAAATAAAAGTGGACGATACTCATTCATATAAATATAATAATAATATTCTACAGCACGTTAAATATATCTAAAATAAAACGGGAAACTGCCGCTACTTTTAAAACCAAATGGACTTATAACGCTTGAAAGTTTGGTCTCTCATGTTCTCGTGTTTATCTTTCCTTAGCAACCATCCCGGTTTTGCCCTACGGCGTCCTTTTTTACGTTTGCAGATCTTATCTCTAGTTCTGGTATTTTTCCAAGGAACGAAACGTAACGCGGGTTTGACAGAAGGACGTTTTTCATCACTCCCTTTCGAGACATCTTCGTAATCCACCCGTCCGTATTTATCGGTGAGTCGTTTCGTTAAAAATTTCAATTGACGGTCATAGTTTAGTTTTAGAGGTTTTAAAGTCGTGAAGCATTTATTCCCTTCTATTGATAAGCCATTTCGACACTGCGGTGCTACGAAAATAGTTCTTCGCTCCCTGCTTAAGCTTGACGATCCGCTTTCGAGCAAACTTGATACGTTAAAAGCACCGATAGCTACGGTAAGCAACAAAAATAGCAATTTAGTAGTTTGCATTGTCTGGTGCTACCATTATCTGCGGAAATATATGGGTAAATTACTTGTTCTTAGATATGTATACATATGCCCTTACCGTTACTAGTAGACTGTGAAGAACTTAAATTTATATATGTTGCTATAATGTATTGATGCAATGTGCGATTTTCGTTCCCGACACAAAAACTAATTCCGTGGTATTTTAACCACCTACCTATTGTTTATGCTCGTACAACGTAGTTTTTATCATAATGAGTTAATAATGAGACTTAAACTTGGTTAGATTAACAAAAAATAATAAAATGTCGTTTTCTGGGGAACGTTGACCTGACATTTAGTTGAAAAATTTCTTCGTCGTTATGAAATATATTTAAAGCTACCAACAAGCATTGCGGTTATTTTTTGCAATTTTGGTTTGCTTTTTTATACCACGGACGACATACTAATTATAAAATAATGTTCCGCAAAATTTTAACGTATATTTCAGGCGTAGAGTGTTAAAACCTCATTACTGAAAAAGGGACAAGAGAGTAAGCCAACACATGCTTAAGCAACTTTCAATGTTCGACGTTCGTTTCATTGCAAAATTCTTCCTTTTAATCGGATGCCACGCAAAAAGCAAAAATTATGCATTATATATAAAAATATAAATTTTTCATTTACAAAAGATAGTTACGTATTGTCAGAAAGTTCAAGTTTTGGCTTATGTTAGATTGTATCACCACTAAATTATTTGAATTATTTTTGATAAGTTCATATAAAAATGAAAATATTTATTTTTATTGTAAGTTACCATAGTACATACATTCCAAATTTATACGTTGTTTTTTTATCGACTAAATAATATAAATAATATACCACTTTGTAAGCTGAATTGATAAAATTTTTGCACATCGATTGGATTAACCAAGACTGGGAAAGAGATGAAGTTTTTACAACTCAGTTAGACGTATAAGAGTTTACTGAAGACGAAATGAAATGTACGCCCAATGTAACGGAACTAACCACAATACCAGATTATTTGTTGAAGCGTCAGTTATGATTTGAAAGAAATCTTTTTAACTGCTCGTACTGACTTGGTGGTTATTAATAATGGCAGTTTAACAGCAGATTGGTACATAGGGGAGATCCTGCAAGAACATGTGATACCATTTAGATCTTACATTGGTAACAATTTTTGCTCGACTGCATGTTGCTTAGAATGTGCAAAATTATATTAATGAGGTTGAAATTGAAGCTATAGATTGGCCAGCAACCAGTCCTGACCTTAACCCAATTGAGAATGTTCCCTTCTAACACTTAGAATGGACTTACTGGAGATATTGTCCAAATATGGAATAATTTAGATCAAAACGAGGTACGCGCTGTACATTTATGTATGAATAATAGAGGAGCAAATACTAGTTATTAATTATTTTTAACTGAAGTTAATATTTTTTGAGTTTTTTGTCTTTTCATTTTTTTTCATATCTTCTTTGGAAATTTTATAGTTTGTTAATACTCTTATTTAATTGGAATAAGATTGTATTTAATTAAGATATGAAAATATGCTGGCGGTGGGGCGTAAATTTTGATATCCAGTGTATTAGAGAACTAGTAAGTAGACTTCAATAACATCCGAATTCATGTCCGCGTGGAAATTTTCCGTGTGACACAAATGAAAGTTTAACAAACCTTTTTCTAAAATTAACTTTTCACTTACAATATGCGCTGTTTGTTAATGCGAGATAGTTATGAGTTATCAATGAACTATAAAATTTTCATTGGAGTTGTATTGAACCTATGATGATTGTCGTAGGAGAGTGGTAAGAATATATTTTTTGAAATAATATTTATTAGAATTTTTCTTTTTTATATTATTCTACTTTATATAAGTTTATATTTATTTGAACTTACAATAATTAATATGTCAACAATCTCCCCATCTGTATAATTATAATCATGTCAATGTGCGCTCTCACATTACTTTCTATTGTATGCAAATATGGAATTTTCCGGAAACTGTCATTGCAATTGCATGACAGCTTGGCGAACTCTGGCTATATTATTGGCTTGAGACGTTTTCGGTACTATATAACCTT